TGTACCAAAAAGAACTGGTTGATGTTCATCCATTTCAGGAGGTGGCAGATGATCAAGAACCAATGGTATTGAAGGTAGAAGTCAAAGCTTCACTGAAGGAATTAGCAAAGAACAAGGCTCCAGGAATTGACAGAATACCCATTGAGATATTTCAACAAATGGATGTCCCACTGGAGGCACTCACTTGTCTATGCCAAGAAATTTGGAAGACAGCTGGCTGGCCACTGACTGCAAGAGATCTATATTTGTACCCATTCTAAAGAAAGGCAATCACACAGGATGTGGAAATTATCAAACAATATCATTAATATCACACACAAATAAAATCTTGCTGAAGATAATTAAAAAACGTTGCAGCAGTATATTGACAGAGAATTTCTAGAACTGCAAGCTGGATTCAGAAGAGGATGTGGAACTAGGGATATCATTGCTGATGTCAGATGGATCCTGTCTGACAGCAAAGAATACCAGAAAGATGTTTATTTGTGTTTTATTGACAATACAAAAGCATAGTCTTTTTTTATTGACTATCCACACAATCTGGTTGTGTGGATTATAACAATTTATGGATAACTTTGAAAAGAAGGGGAATTCGAGAACATTTGTTTGTGCTCATTGGGAACCTGTTCATAGACCAGGAGGCTATCACTCGAACAGAACAAGGGGATACTGCATGGTTTAAAATCAGGAAGGAAGTGGGTCAGGGTTGTATCTTTTCAACATATATATTCAATCTGTGTGTTGAACAAATAATCCAAGAAGCTGGATTATATGAAGAAGAATGTGGCATCAGGTTTGGAGGAAGATTCATTAACAACCTGTGATATGTAGACAACACAACTTTGCTTGCTGAAAGTGAGGATGACTGCAGTATGGATTACATATCAACATAAAGAAAATGAAAATCCTCACAACTGGACCAATAAGGACCATCACAATAAATGGAGAAAAGATTGAGGATATCAAAGACTTGAATTACTTGGTTCTAAAATCAACACCAATGGAAGCAGCAGTTAGGACATAAGACAATGCTTTGCACTAGGCAAATTGGCTGCAAAAGATATCTTCAAAGTTCTGAAGAGCAAGGATGTCTCCTTGAAGATTAGGATGCACCTAACCCAAGCCATGGTATTTTCAATAGCCTCATATGCATGTGAGAGCTGGACAGTGAACAAGGAAGATTGAAAAGGAGTTGATGCTTTGGAATTGTGGTGTTGGGGAAGAATACTGCAAGTACTATGGAGTGCCCAAAGAACAAACAAGTCTGTCCTGGAAGAAGTGCAGCCAGAATGCTCCTCAGAAGCAAGAATGGCCAGACTTCATCTCACCTACTTTGGTCATGTTGTCAGAAAGGACCATTTCCTGGAGAAGGGTATCATGTTTGGTGAAGTGGAGGGTCAGTGAAGAAGGGGAAGGCCCTCAACAAGATGGATTGGCCCATGGCTGCAAAGATGGGCTCCGTTATAGCAAGGGTTGTGAGGCTGGCACAGGACCGGGCAGTGTTTTGTTCTGTTGTACATAGGGTCACTATGAGTGGGAACTGATTCGACGGCACCTAACAGCAACAACAACAACCTAACATAGTACTTATTTTTTATAGGGTGAAGCATTCTGCTTTGCTTTCAATTTATTGTATTTTTATAAATATATTAAACATCAGTTCTCGGTATCCTCAATTCTTATCTCCAGATTGTGCATGAAGGACACTTTTTTCCCATAGGGCTTGATGGGTAAGAATTGCACTGACCCTTTGGTTAGCCACTGAGCACTTAACCATTGTGCCACCAAGGCTCCTTACACACACACACACACACACACACACACATTGCTCTTAACCTAGTGAATTAAATTCAAGATCTCCTAATGGATGTTATCTAATTTGCTCTATTAATATCATTTTATTATCGTTTTAATTTTCATTGTGATTTAGGTGAACAGAGAAAACTGAAAGTTTCCAGAGAAAATTGGTTTTTGTTTCAACAATGCATACACGTTATTTCATGACATTTATTGCAATCCCCACAATGTAACAGCACTCTCGCCACTCCTGCCCTGTGTTTCCCATTTCCATTTGTCCTTCTTTCCTATCCCTTCCTACTGTCTTAGCTTTATCTCTGGGCAATTGCTACCCTTTTTATTTCACATGGTTGTTTGTTTTAAAGAGTCCGTGCCTCCCTGGTGTTATTGTTCACCTTATAGACCTGTCTATTTGGTTGAAAGATGAGCCACAGAGGTGAGTTAGGTTCCAGGCTTAAAAGATATCTAAGGGAAATAGTTTCAAGGATTCTATCAGTCTCTATCAGACCAGTAAATCTGGTCTTTTTTTTTATTTTGAATTTTGTTCCATAATTTTTTCCACTCTATCCAGGACCTCCTATTGTGATCCCTTTCAGAGCAGTCAACAGTGGTAGCTGAGCACCATCTTGTTCTTCTGGTCTCAGCATCATGGAAGCTACAATCTGTGTGGGCTAATAGTCTTTTGGACTCGGGGAAGTCTGTACAAAATGGTGAAAGCAAAGGGAGACACTGTGCTCCAAAATTTGGAAAACATTCTGTAACTCACTGCTGTGGAGTCGAATCTGACTCACAGCGACCCTTCCTTGGGTTTCTGGGGCAGTATCTCTATAGAAGTCGATTGCCCAATCTTCCCTCTGAGGAATGCAGGTGAGTTTGGATCTCCAGCTTTCAGGTTAGCAGTCAAATGCCTTAGGCATTTAAGAATTCTGATGAAAGTGAATACTCAAGTTAGACAGGATCAGGTAATTTTCATGATACCAGGAAAGACAACATGGTGGTTTTATTTATTTATTAATAGCTCTAATTGTTTATCTGCATTACTGTATTTCTAAGAGTACTGGAATATTTTTGTGTTATCCTTCTGCCTGAATTTTTAATTGGCAAAACAGAAAGCTGTTGTACAATTGTTCAGAATGGAGCCAAGGGAGTCTGACGGTCTGACTCAACAACTTGGGAACATTATTTAATCACCTGGACCTAAGTCTCTTCATTTGTGAAATGGGGATATTAGACCCTGCCTCCGGGAATGGTGAGAATAATACATATAAAGCACTTACTCTAATGAACTCTCAGTAAGTATTGGCTATTGGCAAATAAAGGGAGCTCTGGTAGCGCAGTGCCTAACCAGAAGGCTGGTGGTTGACACCCACCAGCCACTCCTTGGAAGGAAGGTTGAGCCATCTACCATAGTGATACTGCCTCGGAAACCCAAGAAGGAGTTGCTATGAGTCGGGTCCAACTCGACAGCGCATAAAAACAACTACAACAACAACATTGGCAAATAAAAGGAGCTCTGATGGTGTAGTGGTTAAGGCATTTGGCTGCCAACCCAAAGGTCAGTGGTTCAAACCTACCAGCTGCTCCATGGAAGAAAGATGAGGCAGTCTGTTTCTATAAAGATTTACAGCCGTGGAACCCAATACGGGTCGACAAGAGCAGGAATTTATTGGATGGAGGTGGGTTTGTTTTTTGAGTATTGGCAAATAAATCCACACTTGATCAAAATCTCAGGTACAATTGAGAACTGAATCCGAATGAGAAAATTTAAGTTTATGCTTAGAGACATTCAGTATATATTTCTAATATCTTCTGTCAATAATTTGGCTAAGGAATCAATAAAGTCTCTTTATAGTAATAAGAGTATCTATAGTAAGTAAATAAATTTAGTTCTGTAGAAAAGGAGGTAAGTTCTCTTTTGAACAGCTCTCAGATACTCATTTAATTTTCTTCTCTTTAGTCTGAATATTAATGCATCCCAAATGAGCCATCTCAATCAATTCACTTCTCTGAAAAATTAAAGAGCTTAAAAAGTGTTTAATACGAGAGGTTCAAATATTTAGTTACAAATTAGGAGAGTGAGAGAGAGAGAGAGACATCAGAGATAATTTAGTAGGAAAAACTAGAATTGAATCCTGGAACTTCCCTCTGGTTCTCTCATTTTTCTGGAAGGCAGTGAGTGCCAAGGATCACAAATTCCCTTTAATGACAATGGAATATTGATGATGGTGTTTGGAAATAGCAAAATATGGTGGTTACTCAAAGGAACAAAAATTGGCATTTTTTACTCATTGAGCCTACTAACAAAAACAAAATGCAGTCTAACTTTCAAAATGCCTAATACAAATGCATATTTATTTCCTATGTGGAACAGAGATCATGGTCGCCTTGTTCACTGTGAATTTAACCTGGCTTCTCAGTCACTATGAATATTCACTGTTTGGTTCCCTATGGAAGAGAATGAACATCACTTAAAAATTTTCTTCTCCTTGCCAGGGCTTTGAGGAACAGAACTTGAGAGATTCATTAGCAAATGCATGTTGTATTTGGAATTTAATTTCTATTGAAATTCTCCATCATAGAATAACTAGTATTATGCTAATTAAGAAATTAAATTAAAATAGCATTTCATGTACAATACTGATAAAATAATATTACAGTATAGTTATATGCTAGTAGGTAATTACTATAGTAAAGATGATATAGTCATACTTAGCAACTTATTGCCACCGTTTTAACAAGAAGTGGGTCTATAGATATTGCTCAAGTCTAATGAAACTCTAGAAATAGAGGGAAACTAAACCTTCTTGTCTTGTACTCTGAATTGTCTCCCTTTTATAGCTCCACTTTATTTACTTTATCAGCATACTGTCCATAAGTTTACATACTTTTCAGTGTGTAAGTCAATTGTATGTAAACATTTGAGCATCCAGAATGTTTATGATATATATTATGGTTTCCAAAATTGGTTTTTATTCTTTCCTTCTGACAAAATACCATCAGCTATAACTGTTTAACTGAATTTGTCACCAAAAAAATAAACCAAGTGTTCTACATTAGTTCCTGTATAATGAGCTAATGGTTTAGGGGAATGATTTCAATTATCAATATTTCTAACTGAGAGTAGTGATTTCTAGCTCACTCAAGACCTTAGCATGCAAGATCACATCTCCACCCACTCACTTTTTTTTTTTCTGTCTTTGCAGTTCCGCCATGGTTTTTAATTCACCCTTCCAACCTCTATGCCTATGAAAGCATGGACATTGAGTTTGAATGTGCCGTTTCTGGGAAGCCTGTGCCCACGGTGAACTGGATGAAGAACGGAGATGTGGTCATTCCTAGTGATTACTTTCAGATAGTGGTAATTATCTTTTCATATTAACTTTGCAATCCCATTCATTGTATACTAATTACACAGCCCCCCCCCCCGCCACTGGAAAGAAGATTCCCATTGGGAATTTTTATGATATGTTAAAAAAATTATTCCAATAAAACATGTGATTTTCTAGACTTAATAAATCAACTCCTTTGTTTTACAGACAAAGACATAAATATACAGAGAGAGAGGGAGAGAGGGAGAGGAGACAGAGAACCTAAGATCATCTTTCCAAGTATTCTCACTGCTGACTCTTGGGAGAACAGAGTTTAGAATTTACTTCTAGACTACATTAAGCCAGGAGAGTCTTTCTTCTTTGGGCTTTACTCATTATAATGAAGTTTCAATAAGATGTGCCACTTATGATAGCCTTCCTTTTATAATACAGACAGTATTTCTTTGCTATTCTTTCAAATAGGACCAGTTGTTATTACATGAGCAGTGGAAAGTGGTGGTAGTGGTGGTGGTGGCTGTGGTAAAGACACCATGGAGACCCAGGCTTCATTTTACTTTGTAATTTTGAACATTAGGAAGAATTGGGGCAAAAGTAAATAGATGAAAATAAAACTTACAGTTTCATATAAAGTTTAGTTCACTCATTGTTCCTAATCCTCTTGCAAGGTATTAGGGATAATGGTTCTATACTTACTGAGTTGTTGTCCGGTATAAAATGAGTGCTCAGTAAATGAAAACTATCATCATTACTATTGTTTTCTTGCTTTTGTCATCAACAGAAACTTTTGCTTATTTAAAATGGTTCTTTAAAAATACCACCCATGGTGTAGGTTAGCATTGGAGGCTCTGATTTCAGGTATAATTTATGAGTATATGTACAATTATATATATATATGATATACATTTTACATATAAAATATCATATATATATATATACATTACACACACACACACACACACATATACATATGTATATACCAAAAAAACCCAAACTCACTGGCGTCAAGTTGATTCGACTCATAGCAACCCCTCCTTGGGTTTCTGAGGAGGTATCTCTACAGAAATACATTGCCCAATCTTCCAAGGAGTGGCGGGGGGCGGTTTCAGCCTTCTGCTTAGCTGTCAAATGCTTTAGGCACTATGCTACCAGAGCTATATATATACACACACACACATATATACACACACACATATAAATATATATTATGTATAATGTTTGTATATATGTATATATACACACACATACATGAGAAAAACAGCTTTCCAAATATTAAAGTAATTTTGCAACTAAAGAAGTTGATTTTAGGTCACTTCTTTATGTTTGAGAAGCAAACACAACCCTCTTAAAGAAGAGTGGTCATTAAGTGAGGTCTCTGGTAACATAGTGCCTAAGGCACTTGACTGCTAACCAGAAGGTTGGTGGTTCAAACCCACCAGCCACTCCTCAAAAGGAAGGTTGGGCAATCTACTTCCGTAGTGATACTCCCTTGGAAACCCAAGGAGGGGTCACTATGAGTTGGAAAGGACTCGATGGCAAATAACAGCAACAATGACAACAACCCGGACAGAAAAGACTAGATCAAAGCATCCTGGGAGTCCAGATAGAAGCCGTCTCTGTGGTATCATATTCTCTCTTTGCCTCTCCCACCATTTGTAAACTTTTGAATACTTTCACAGTCTGTCTGTGCACGTATGTTGGCATTAAGGTTTCTAAAGATTCAATCAGTAAACTATATCTCTATTACTTTCATCACCAGTTATCATTCTTCACTTTCAGTTGCATTGGTATAATTGATTGGAGATAAAGTAAGAAAAGGAAAAAAAATTAACCTTTGAATGTCACACCAATCTGTTATTTCCTTTAAATGCAATGCTATTTCTGCTACCACTGAATTAAAAATGATCTGCCATTGGGCAACTTGAAATGTATTGTTTATGCCTAGAATATATGTTACTTGCATATAAAAGAAATTATTGAGTGCCCTTAAGGACACATGATAAAATGTAACATTTATTTATTTTTGTACAGTTTGAATACTCTTTCTCCAAGCATGACTCATTGCAGGCAACTTATTTAGATGTTTCTTTTCTTATAGTGAAAAATAAAATATATAGTATGTGCCCTATTCACATTAAATTGTGCTTAAAAATATTCTTCCAATAGCTCGAGAAATCTGAGAACCGTTATCTGTTGCACATGTAACATTTAGCACAAATAGCAACTTATATGAGAATTGTTAATTAGAAGTTAACCAGCTTTATCTACGAATTTTACATCAGCTGAGAATTGAGTACAAGACACTAAAAACAATTAAGAATTCCCCATGAGGTAATATTTATCTCTTAATGACTTCAGGGGAAGTGATTTAACACGTCTCACTTACTGAACTAATTCTTACACTAATATTGAAGATAAACTGAGTTAGTATAATTAAATGCTATCTCCAGATCATTTTATCATCCATCCTTGAAGAAGATGGTGACTCAATTTATATAAAACAGAAGTTAGCATTGCTGTATTTAATTTATGGATTACTGAAGATGAACATTTTGGCTGTAAAACCAGAATGACATAAGTATAAAATATCCAACATACCCCTACCCTCCAAACCCTCAAAAGGGTATATGGGAGAGCAATTACAATTTTAATAAGACCTCAAGACATTTTTTCTGGGTAAACACTACTGGAAAATATCCAACCTAAATTTCGTATCTTTTAGAAGCTGGGAAAATAAACTTTTCTTTTTTTTTTTTTTTTTCCATTTTGCCTTTCATTCCCAAATAGCTGCTAAGCCTGAACTTCCTCCAATGATAAGGGATGAGGTTCCCTTTACTAATAACCTTCGTCTCTCCCGTGCCTGCTGAAAGAATTTTCTCTTTACTGCACTGCTCATTTAGATATTCAAGAAGATATATTTTTGTGAGCACATTTTTCATTGCTCACAAAATGAAGTAGGTTAACTTGATGCATTTAAACTCAGAAAAGAACACTGGGCATGGGGAACATTCCCCAGAAACATGATATGTCCATTAGGTTGAGAACACTCATGGCAAGATCTCTTGTTTCTTTTGTGAAGTTTTATTAATGTTTTGCCTGCATTTTTAGCTGTTTAAAATATTTTACCTGCTTTTTTTTTTTTCTCCTCCCTCCCTAGGGAGGAAGCAACTTACGGATCCTTGGAGTGGTGAAGTCAGATGAAGGCTTTTATCAGTGTATGGCAGAAAATGAGGCTGGAAATGCTCAGACCAGCGCGCAGCTCATTGTTCCTAAGCCTGGTAAGATGATGGGACTTTCTTTCGGTAATGTAGCTACAATTATGAATGGTCCAAGTGGAAAATCTGTATTGGCTTTCCTACCTCAAATCAACTTATGTTGCATACTGTCTCTTAGGGGCAATGTCCAACTGCATATATGTCTATAGTGCCAACCTGCATAAAACAAACAAATAAACAAAACAAACAAACCCACTACCATCTAGTCAATTCTGATTCATAGCAACACCATAGCACAAAGTAGAACTGCCCCATAGAGTTTCAAGGGTTGTAAATCTTTGCAGAAACAGACAGTCCCATCTTTTTCCTACAGATCAGCTTGTGGGTTCAAATTCCCGACCTGTCGGTTAGCAGTCGAGTGCTTAACCCCTGTACCATCAGAGTTCATACCAAGTCCTGCAAAGCCTGTTGTTGTTGTTGTTATGTACCGTCGAGTCGGACCCGACTCATAGCGACCCCTCCTTGGGTTGTTGAGGCAGTATCACTACAGAAGTAGATTGCCCAACCTTCCTTCTGAGGAGTGGCTGGTGAGTTTGAACTTCCAGCTTTCTGGTTAGCAGTCAAGTGCCTTAAGCACTATGCTACGAGAACTCCCCCTGTAAAGCCTAGTATATTAAAATTCAAGGTACATACAATAGTTCCTAATTAAAAAAGAAAGAAAGAAAAGGACACTACTTTGCAATACTCATCAAAACATTATTATTATTATTACTGTATTATTATGTTAAAGATGTTTTAGTGTCTCTGGAAGTGTTTCTTCACTTTTTTTTGTACATAGAAAGGTACACTATATATTATACACTTGAGCCAAACATTTAGCTAACTTACGTTACATATGAACTGCACCTCACTCTTCTGATTTATGTACAAATTACACTTAAAGACAGATGTAGGAACAAGTCTTCTTCCTAATCTGGGGACTGCTGTGTATAATAACATGGTGTTCGCACAATGCCCAAATCAGATTATGTCCTGTTCACAGAATGTTATTAGGGGACATTAAATGACACATGACAGTATTTAGTTCATCAAAATATACATTTGTGTATTGATAATATATTCTTTCTAGAAAATGAGACAAATAAACATCCCTCTTCCCACTTTCCTCCCATCTTGCTCAGCTGTGTTGGTGGTTCTATGCCCAGAGCAGAGCATGGAGGTCTCCCAATAAGGGAAAGTCACCATGAATAATGGGGCATCTGGTTGTCAAGAAAAACACTCAATTATGGTCATTTGCCATTCTTTGTGTCCTGTATTTCTTCCCAGTGTTTCATGTGTATGTGGAATACATACATACATACACCCATATGTGTATACACACTTATATATGCACATACATGTATACAAACCAAAAAAAAAAAAAAAAAAAACTCAGTGCCATCAGTTGATTCTGACTCATAACAACCCCCCTTGGGTTTCTAAGGCTGTAAATCTTTACAGAAGTACATTGTCCTACCTTTCTTCCCATGGAGCAGCTCATGGATTTGAATCAATATCGTTTCAGTCTTTCCCTGGGGAAAGTTTAATAGAAAATAGCTGTAGTACATGAGACATAGTCTCTCTGGCTTTCATCATTAGTAGCCAAATGCATCTTTAGCAGCAAGATGCCTTACCTACTACACCACAAGACAGCCTTGAATAAATGGAATCTGGCAGAAAAATAACAGAAACAATCATTGAAATAATAACATTTTTTTTCTCTTCTTTTAAACTAAATTTTGATGATTTATCCTTTTCCATGATAACTGATGGAGTTTTTATTTTGTTCTGTAGTCTTTTGGATGCTTAATATGGTGGCGTATTCAGAGTGACATAAATCTATATTAGATATATCTATGTAACCCCCAAGGAGCTCTGGTAGCATAGTGCCTAAGGCACTTGACTGCTAACCAGAAGACTGGTGGTTCAAACCCACCATCTACTCCTTGGAAGGAAAACTAGGCAATCTTGTAGAGATACTATCTCAGAAACCCAAGGAGGGGTTGCTATGAGTTGAAATTGACTTGAAGGCAGTGAGTTTGGTTTATGTTACCCCCATTATCGCAAAATTCCTGACAAGTAGCACAATTCCTGCCAATGAGTGAGGAGCTGGTTAGATGCTCTGAGAGATAACACTAAAGAAAGTAAAAACAGAACTCTTCTTTCTTCTTTCATTTTAAAGGAAGGACTGTTTATATGAACACGCATATTTTAATTAAAGTACTAATATCTCTCAAGAAACAGGTTCATATCATCTATTTATCATGTCAGTTTCAACTCTTTTTCAGCCTGGCTTCCTTCCTCTTGGCATAGCTCAATATCATTTCAATCTTTCCCTGCAGAAAGTTTAATAGAAAGTAGCTATAGTCCGTGAGACATAGGCTCTCTGGCTTTCATCACTGGAATGTGCCTATTAAGTTCTTATGTTTTTGTGCACTCTTAGCCTACAACCTGAAGACTCACATAATATCACAAAGATTACTTTCTACTTTTTAAAATTAAAATAATAATAGTGGGGAAAAAAAGCACCCATAAAACTACAGTCCCAGATGAGTCAAGGAACTACCTAGGAATTAAAAGGGACAATTAACTCTGGTTCAAGATCACTGATTTCTCTGACAGACTACTATTTTTCCTCTCCATTTAATTGCTTTAAGTGTTAGTGTAAATCATTTGTGTGGTTAAGTACATTCTCTTCTGCTGAAACAGTAATGGGTAAGTAGGAGAAAAGGAACCTCAGAAGTCAGCATCTGTAATGAGAGTGGTGCTTTAAAAGAAGTGCCATCTCATTAGTGAAAATATGGTCATGTTTTACATACTACTGGCTGCTATACAAGTAAGAGAATTCTAGTTAACCCTGATTTTCATGACCATAAAGCTGAGGGAAATGGGAGGCAAGTAACCCTATATTTCTAAAGAGATCCTCACAAGGCAATGTGGTGTCAACTTGGCTGGGCCTGGTTTTGAGTGGCTGGGCAGCTGGATGTTGTTATTCCTTATGATGAGACTGGTAATCAACTCCATGGGAGAATCTACTGTGAACTGCTAAGGAGCTGCCTTAGGGATGTAGTCTGCCTCCAATATATAAGAAAACACTTTGAGAAAGGTCTCTGAGCTTTTTGGCACATTTTCATCTTGCCTTTGGCCTAGTCTTCATCTCAATGGCCTGCCATGTTGTCTGCCGATCTTGGGACTGTTTCTGGACTTTAACTAGTGGCTTACCATGTTGCTTGATAATCCTGGGAATGTGACATTTTATTTGTCAACCTTGAGTTTATCAGCTTCAGCAGTTAGCAGCTACCTGAATTAAGAGATGCCTCCAGCTTCAGTGGGCTGGGAGTAAGAGGCAGACCTGAATCCCAAGGTCGAGAGGCCTTCACCCAGCCCTGAAGCTGGCACTTCAGACTTGGATTTCTAGCCTTCTAAACTATAAGAGAATAAATACCTGTTTGTTAAAGCCATCTACCATGGTATGTTCTGTTAGAGTAGCACTAGATAACCAATACAGGCTGGCATGAGAAAGGAGAGGGCAACAATTTAATGAAGTCCTATTTCCACTATGGGGACAAGGATGTGAATTTTACTTGAAGAAAGCAAGACTGAAGTCATCTGGAAAGGACTTTGCTCAAGAGGTCCTGTCTGTTGGGACACCAAAGAGAGCACCATACTGGAGGGTGGGAGCTGAAGTGGGGACTGGTACAGAAGGTCACTCGCAATACTCAGTGCCTACTTCAGGGGAGAGTGCAACAAGGGGATGGCTAAGGTGTCTGTGAGGTCTCTGAAGAATCCATAGAAACACCCTATGAAAAACAGTATGTGATGACCTCCATGATTGAACTTGTGAGAGCGCAAGCTGCAGAAAACAGCCTTTATCTTCACTCCGAATCCATCCTCTCCTCTCCTCCCTAGAGGAGTCCTAAGCAGAAGGGAAGAAGTAGATCTAAGAGAGTGAAAACACAGCTAACAGTCCCACTGTCCTGTTCCTCGCTTGTGATCTCCAGTCTACCCTGGGAGGAGGGGAGGAACTTTAATTTGAATATTAGGTTAATGTTTTAATTACCTCCTACTGAATTTGTTGTTGTTGTTGTTTTAATACTTGAAACAAGCTTTTAAAATACTTTAATGTGACCCCAGAATTAGAGGATGGGCCAAAGTTTCTCCCAGGGGTGGAAAGGGAGATATGAATGAGTTGTATTGAAAAGTAGATGACAGGAGAAAAATAAAGCAGTTTTCAGCTCATTCAATACATAGATTATAGACATTACTCTTCACTTCTGCCAAAGAAGATCTGATTTTCTGTGAACTTTTATTAGCTATATCTTGCATTCCACTTGGGCTGTGTTCATTTAGGTCTTGCACCCATAAAAAGACAAGACTCCCATCGAAGAAATGTCATTTATTTCCTCACTATACCCAACCTAGGAGTGCCTTGGTAATTCATTCTTCTTCCATCGAGATGTTAAAATGTTGTCAGTGGATTCTGTACTCTTGGTCAGTGTTTATTGTATTTGGCATTGGATTCTAATGAAAGTAAAACAAAATGAAGACAAAAAATTCCAAAGCTTGACAGGACACCATTGTGACTGCCTTACATTTCCCCTTTGTGAATGATGGATTGCTTTTTCCTGGCTATTTAATCAGGTCTTCAAATAATGCCACTTCAATTGCTCAGAGATGGACGGTAGGCCATGTGCGCAGATGGCAGAGAGGCCAGCTATAAATATAAATTAAGCAACGGGACTGACTTTGGTGAGAAGAACATAGCCTTCTCTATTTAAGATTTAACAATAAATGGTCACCATATATTTCCAGGCACTTTGTGGGACCGCGTTGCCCAGCTGTTCAGCTTTGGCCTGTCCACAAGCTTATGGCTGAGAGTCATTCCTGGCAACCATAACCATCTGCTTCTCACTGAAGTGTGGACAATGACCTATTAGAGCCACTGTCCATTGTCAGACAGTATTTACGTAAGCCTAATGAAGTTTCATCCTAGTATTTTACATATAGTTAGGTACTCTGCCCTT